TTTGTCTACCTATAAATAGGTTGCAGATTACCACACACACACACACACAACCACCTCAACCTCTCAGTTCGAGACTTTAGAAAGGTTTTCACTTATATATAATCGTATGTACATTATAAAATAAGCTGAAGCAATAAATATTTAAATCAAAAACATTAAATCCCATGGAAAAACAAAAAAAAAAATGTAAATAAGTATCAGGATATCTGCAGGCATATCAATGTAGAGTTCAGTATAACTTGTTCGCATGACACATCCTCATATACCCCTTACCAACTGCAACTTGCTTCAATTCATCATCTCCTACAAGAAAGCTAGCAAATATTTTAGAGGGATAAAATATTTACATGTGCGCTCTCAGAAAATACTTACTATGTTTGCCCCCTTAAAACGACTTATAAGAGAATGTCGTTGATCTTGTAAGTTATCACATCAAATTTCAGAAAATACTTACTATGTTTGCCCCCTTAAAACGATCCGTCCCTCAAGCTCACTTTCTGGTCCCTCACCTTCTTGGCCCTAATCTTCCTCTTCTTCTACAGATCCCCGCCGTCCTCCGCCGCCGGGACCTCAGATCTCTCCAGAAGATCCCTCCGGATCAGCTTCTATTGCAGCCCCGAGTTCGAAAAAAAGGTCCGGGCCTCCGCCAAAATTCGTTCAACAAATGGGATCTCCGTTTTGGTGACCGGCGCAGCCGGTTTCGTCGGCACCCACGTCTCTTCCGCCCTCAACCCCTATTAGAATAATACTAGAATTGATACCATTAGACTGCATATGCATAGTTAGTTAGTTAGTTAAAATCTAATGATGCCAGCTCATGTTTACAGCTGTGAGGTTAAAGCCTCAATTTCACTGGCATATAAATGTACTCTGTTTTGTACAGTTACACAATCAATGGTTTCACAACATTCATTTTACTGTTCTTCATTATCTAACATGGTATCTCGAGCCAGCTAAATCCTAGTCTGCTCGATTTTTTTTCGATCTTCTTCTCACCGATCTGCCATGGCTGATCCTTCGCCGCAATTGGTCGTACCTTTTCCGCATCTTCTTCCTCTTCCTCTTCGCTTGGATCGCTCAAATTTTTCTTACTGGAAACTGCAAGTCCTTGCTACTGTTCGTGCTCATGGTTTGGAGGATTTTCTCCTCAATCCGTCTCCTCCGGCGCGCTCGCTTGCTGATTTGGTCGGTTCCTCGCCGTCAACGGTAAATCCAGATTTCTCTCGTTGGATTCGCACTGATCAGTTGATCCTGAGTTGGTTGCTTGCCTCCATGTCTGAATCTATGCTTGGCCATGTCACGCGTTGTTCATCCTCAGCTGAGTTTTGGTCGATCTTACTACAACTTTTTCATACGCAATCTAAAGCTCGTGTTCTTCACCTCAAATTTCAACTGCAAACCCTAAAGAAAGGGGATCAATCTGTTGATGATTACATTCTGAAAATGCGTGCTTTAGCTGATGAGTTACACTCTGTTGGTCACCGTGTGTCAGATGACGAGCTGGCTATGTATGTGTTGGGAGGTTTAGGTGCCGATTATGAAGCAGTTGTTGTTAATTTGTCTTCTCGCCTGGATTCAATTTCGTTGCTTGAGGTCCAATTTTCATTACAAACTCATGAAATGCGTTTGGCAAGTCAAACTCCTACTACTCCGTTAGCTTTTACTGCTACTAGTTCTGCACCTTTACTTGAGCAAAATAACTCGGCAAATTATTCTGCAAATTTCGTCCAGTCTCGTGGTGGTTTCTCGTCTTTTCGTGGTAATGGCAGGGGCAGAGGCCGTGGACGTGGCCGTGGTCGCTTCTTTAAGAATGGTGACCGTCTGATATGTCAGCTCTGTGGTAAGGCAAATCATGTGGCCTTGAAGTGTTATAAACGTTTTGATATCAGCTTTACAGGCCCAGAAATGGCACCTCCTCAGTCACCACAGGCTCATGTTGGTGAATATCCATCCCCTGCTCAACCTGCCAGTCCCTCTCTTCAATCAGATCCTAACTGGTATTTTGACAGTGGAGCTACAAATCATTTGACTGCTAACTTTGAGAATCTCTCTCTTCAGGCTGCTCCATATCAAGGTACTGATAAAGTCTTAGTTGGTAATGGCTCTAAGCTCAGTATCTCTCACACTGGTTCCTCTTCTATTGCCACCACTCATCAATACCCTCTTCTTCTTAATCATATTCTACTTGTTCCAAATATTACCAAAAATTTGCTCAGCATATCTCAACTAACTAAGGACAATAACATCCTTATTGAATTTCACTCTGATTTTTGCCTTGTGAAGGACAAGATCTCTCATCAGGTGCTGCTGGAAGGAACACTTAAGGATGGGCTCTATCAACTAGACTTATCCAAGAGTGCTTCTTTCATTTCTTATTTAGCATCTGATATTTCTCATCCTTGTACTTTTTCATCTGTAAAAACCACTGTACCTAGAACTTCTGTATCCAATATTGATGATCTCACTGTATGGCACAGAAAACTTGGCCATCCTTGCCAAAATGTGTTCACACAGGCTATGCATAGTCTCAATATAGCTGTCAGTGGTACTTTACCCTTTTGTGAAGCTTGTAAATTGGGTAAACTTCATCAACTGCACTTTGCCTCTCATCCCTCTAAAACATCTTTTTTCTTTTGAACTAGTTCATTCTGATGTATGGGGACCATCACATGTTATGTCTATTGATGGGTTCAAGTACTATGTTCATTTCATTGATGATTTCACAAGATTCACTTGGATTTTTCCTTTAAAGTCTAAAGCTGAGGTTGCTTCCATTTTTCAGCTTTTCAGTAACTTTGTACATACTCAATTTCATACCACTATTAAATGTCTGCAATCTGATTGGGAGGGTGAGTACAGATCTTTGGTTCCTATTCTCAACAATTTTGGTATTAAATTCAGACATCCATGTCCTCATATTCATCATCAAAATGGTAGGGCTGAGAGGAAACACTTGCATATTGTTGAGATGGGATTGTCTTTGTTGGCTCATGCTGGTTTGCCTTTAAAATTCTGGTGGCATGCCTTTAATGCTGCTGTCTATACCATTAATAGACTTCCTACTCCAGTTCTATCAAATTCCTCTCCTTTCAAACTGCTTTTTAAGTCTCAGCCTGACCTTAACTTTCTTAAGTCCTTTGGTTGTGCTTGCTTCCCTTACCTAAGACCATACAATTCCAATAAATTTCAGTTCAGAAGCTCTAAATGTGCTTTTCTTGGCTACAGTCCCCATCATAGAGGCTACATTTGTCTCAGTCCTCAAGGAAGGACATATGTGGCTATTACTGTTGCCTTCAATGAAAAAGAATTTCCTTATCAATCTCTTTTCTCCTCTACCACTGTGATTTCTTCTCCTCCTCCTCTTATTTCTGTTCCACCTATCTTATATGAGCAGTCTATCTCCTCTTCTGCTTCTACTTCTACTTCTTCTTCATCTCATTTCTCTCCTTCTTCTAATTCTGTTCCTATTCTAGGTGCTTCTCCTGCTCATTCATCTGCTACTGCACCAAGTCTCTCAAATTCTGCTTCTTCTTCTCCCTCCACTTTACCTTTGTTTGTGAATCTCCCTATTGCTAATTCTTCTCCTTCTTCTCAGTCATCCTATGGTTCTCTTCCTCAAAATACTCACCCTATGGTTACTAGGTCCAAAGCAGGTGTTTTTAAACCAAAAACCTACGCTGCATCTCTCTCTCCTTCTCCTTGCTTAGAGCCTGCCACACCCACAGAAGCTTTGTCTAGACCTGAGTGGTTTGCTGCCATGAAGAGTGAGTTTAATGCCTTAATAAACAACAAAACTTGGGTCTTGGTGGATCACACACCTGACATGAAAGTCATTTCAAATAAGTGGATCTTCAGAACTAAATATAAACTGGATGGTTCTGTGGATAAATTTAAGGCCAGACTGGTTGCAAGGGGCTTTGAGCAGACTGCTGGGGTTGATTTTCTTGAAACTTTTAGCCCTGTGGTAAAACCTTGTACAATCCGGTTGGTCTTTACTCTTGCTGCCACCAAATCTTGGTCCATTCAACAAATAGATATAAATAATGCATTTTTAAATGGGGATTTACATGAAACAGTCTACATGGCTCAACCATCTGGGTTCACTGATCCTGCTCATCCCTCTGCAGTGTGTAAACTTCAAA